GAAACAGAATTTTATAGTTATCATGTTTCTGTTTTTTCCATGTTGCACAAGCTTGGTAGGCTTGGACTTATCCCTATGTATAGGGGTCTCTATTTTTGGGTGGGATTTCTCTGTGTTTGGTAGTCCGCTCTGCACAGATGATCTAGAAATTCAGGACATCCTTACAGACATTGATCAGAAAGGAGGTTATGGTGGTGCCCAGTAGTTTCACTTCATTGGACGATCAAGAAGGTGCATAATAGACTTGGGGTTTGGTGCTGTAGATGGCAATGAAAGGATCAAAGTTTTATGCCCTGCATAGCTATGAACCTGCTGTAGGTCAGAGTTTTGAGAAGCATCAGACCTACTGTATATGAACTGTACAGTTTATATTTGATTCCTCAGTGAATCTGGCATGTCCTGAAGGCAGTAGGTTTACTGCACAGGTGCATACCATGAGTACGTACATACATCTGTCCAGGAGTTCCGGTCATGAAATGTGATAACTCTGTAACTTCCAGAGCATGTTGCAAAGTGTTTAACATCTGAAAACAACATCCATGATTAAGATTAACTTACTAGAGTTTCCACTGTTTGTAGTAATTCACAGTTACCACTTTAAATCCATAACCATGTATAAATGCATTTGTAATACAAGGCTTTAAATTGATAAGGAATTGAAACTGCCCTATGGAATTACTTTATTGCAATATTTCAAGGTCCCAGCATTTATTTTTACATTTTCTATTAAAATATGATTCCTCTCTTGAAATTATTTTTTCCTACATCAGTGCCTTCTCAAATTGACTTTCTTCTTGGGATCTTTGCAATTGGATTTTCAGTGATTGAGATTGTTGGGAATTTTTTTTTTTTTAAGAAAACCTATCCCAGTTTTTGAGAACTGGAAGCATCAGTAATTGAATTTGAGAGTGGATAATGAAGCTCTTATGAAATGGTAGTGGTACAATTAATTATATATCAAATCCCTTTTTATGGAGTGTCTGAAAGGTCAGCTTCTATCTCTGCTGCTCAGTGCAGATTATATCTTAGATATTTTACCTTTTTCCTTTTATTTGTTTTACTTAATTATCCTCATATTCTTCTTTACTAAAAATGTTTGCGAATATTTACCAACATAAGTAGAAACAGGAAGGAATTGTGATATAACCTTGATAAATTACATCTTTCAAGAAAATATTTGAATAACTTAGTACAGTAGTTCTGTTGTGCATTGAAGGCACATAAGCAATTTGTGTGATTGAGTATTTAACAATGGTATGTCTTCTCTCAAGTCCTCTTTGATTTTATTACATGTTATTTGCATGTTTTATAGCAGTAATTTTTTTAAGACTTCATCGGGTGAAATTTGGTCGGTATCTGATAAAACCCACTAATTTTACAGAAATTCTGAAAGATAGCATGACTCCGATTCAGAGATATGATCAGAGCAGGTGCTCCCAAAAGTTCTGTGTCATGGAGCTTAAATCCTGTCCCTGTTAGTTCTTCCAGCTGAACAGGGCCAGCACGCTAGTGCAGCTTTTCCAGGGCAGAAGAGGCTTGTAAGTGTGTTTGTTCCGAAAGGCCATGTAGTTTCTAACCTAGAATGAAGCATCTATTTAAGATTAGATTGACAGAGAGGTTTTTTGCATATCTGTATTCCATGCATTGCTTCAGGGAGTATTTTTGGTTTGTGCATGCAAGTTTTGCAATTCTGAACTTAAAAATTCTAAATTTAGTGGTTGTTTAAATGCTTAAATATTTTTTATAAGTTTGTGTGTAATAGTATCTTTTGTAAGCAGTTTTATTTTTGATACAGTAATTTTTAAAAAACCTCAAAACTATATATTATATTACATCTTTTTTTAATGTTATTATTACAGATAAACACAAATCCCCTTCGGATATAATACGAAGTTTTCAGAAGAAAAGTCAGTTCAGGACCATTGCTCCAAAAATGGTACCAAAAATTTTAACATCTGGAGTGGTTTCTTGTCTTCAGTCATCTTTGCCTGAGCAAAAGACACTGATTTCAGCTGCAGGGTCTAAACCACTGGTGGTACCAGCTCAAAACTACGCTGTCATGCAGGTGGCTGGTCACGAGGGGACTTTTTCTCTATTGGCCTTGCCTTATCTTGCCCCTGCCCTAACGCAGCAAGTTCAGCAGCCAAATGCGTCCCCTTCTGAAAACCTAAAGCTGCCTATCCCTCGGTACCAGTCTGTAAGAAAGAAATTGCTGAGTGACAAAAAACCGGCACAAATCTCTGGTTTGGGTGCACATAACAAGAGTCCTACCAAAGCATTGATCTCATCACAGACTTCCCCCGTAGCTACTTTAACTGGAGACTGTCCTGAAACTCATTCTAGTTCAGATTCAGTTGAGCAAGTGATGGTAACAGACCGTGACTCAGCTGAAATTACAGTTGCCACGTTGGTAAATAAAAGCAGTTGTGTGGAATCTGGATCTCCTTTAGTCAACAAACCAGAAATTGCTAACCGTAATGTTTCTGGACCATCTGTAGTTAAAGATTCTTTATCCAAGCCAGTAAGTACAATTAATCCCGTGAAACTAAGTCTACGCTCTGTGAAGACAGCATCTGAAACCACAAGAGGATCATTCATAACGTCTGAGAGACTAAAGGAAAAACCCACAAATTCTGCAAATTCTGTTGCTGTCCTGTCACCAGCAGCTTTTGGCAGTACAATACAGATGACTCCATCAGCACCAAAAGGAAAACTTCCTATTTTGCCTTACTCAAGGACGAAGAATTCAGTGTTGTGTAAATCTAAGCAGAATACTAATATTACAGAAATATCTAGTCCTTCACTAAGGTCTGAGTGTGAGAAGATACCAGCTTTGGCAAAAACCTTTCGTGTTCCTACTAAAGCATCTGATAAGCGATTAGCTCTATCATTTACACAAGTCCCCAAACAAACCTTTCGAGAAAACACCTTCTCTCCATCCAATAAAGTGGATGTCGACAGTCTTAAAAAATTGAACACTGCAGTGTCTAAAAGAAGGGGCAGGAAAAGAAGAGCCCCAGATGATTTATTGGCTTTTCAGACTAAGCGAAGGAAATGCAACATTAATAAGTTCAGAGAAGGAAGAGAGAGAACCAAAGTTGATCTTCAGCCACCTGAAGACAAAAAAGCAGAGGCAGTGAAAAAGTACCGTAGTATTAGACCAAAACCAGTGGTAGTTGTGCAGGCTTTTGCACCACTGACTTCTGCAGCAATAGTAGAGACACCATCTCCTGACCATTTTGACCAAGATTTTGTTTTAAATAGTTCGGTTCCCAACAAATATTTAAGTCACAAGCACAGTGATGCTACATCAGCTAAATCAAGTGATTTTTCATGTTCAACTGTACCTAAGCCGTCACATAAATGTCATGTTTGTAACCATATCTTCCAGTTTAAACACCATCTTCAGGACCACATGAACACACATACAAACAAACGGCCCTACAGCTGTCGAATTTGCCGGAAAGCGTATATTCACTCTGGAAGCCTGAGCACGCATATGAAACTTCATCACAACGAAGGCAAACCCAAAAAACTTGTGTGTTGTGAATTCTGTGCTAAAGTTTTTGGCCATGCAAAAGTGTATTTTGGTCACCTAAGAGAAGTACACAGGGTTGTTATCAGCACAGAGCCCTCTACTAGCGAGCAACAGCTGCAAGATGCTTTAAAGAAGAGAGACACCAATGTAAAAGAAGCAGGAGAAGCAACAGAGAGGTGAGTGTTTTCACTAATTAAATGCTAATGAAAATGAGATTTCGGGTTGTTGGTGGAAGTTCATAAACATCACCATTAAGAAAATTGTTACTTTTTCCTCATCTTTTTTTTTCCCCCGAAGTGAGACTCCTGGTGGTTTTAATATTTTGTTAAGGAGTCTAGTCAATCCTTTAGACTATCCAGTATATTTTAACTGATTTATTGAGAATAAATTATTACTGACACTTGAATATCCAAAATAGTTTTTCATATATTCTAGCAATGTCCAATATACTGCCAGCGGAGCTATTCTGATCAGTTGATTTCTTACGGTTAATGCTTCTCCTGCTAATCTGCGTGGTCTTCTGTGTTCTACCCATTTTGGGTTTTCCCCAGAAGATAAGGGAACCAACTGCAGGAAGTGCAGAGCAATTCATATTTCAGTATTAGCTTGTAGTTTATTTACCTTATTAAATATCATTATTGCATTTCTTCTCTGGAGTGCTGTGAACTAATCTCTCTTGTGTGTTGGTTACTGCTGCTCTTGCAATCACTTAGCCAAGCAGAAAAGTTTATCTTTACCGTATTAAGATGGATAGAACATTCTTTTATCGCTGCAGTATTATTTTGAGGTGAAATTTCTTGACACAGTATAAGTGTTGGCTTTTTTGTTTGTTCCACTGTGCATTTATATCCACTGAAGTACACTTTAAGAAGCTCAAGGCTTTAACCTGACGCCTCACTATGACACTGCAGTTCAATTCTACGCATTTTGCTTTGCATGGCTCCACTCTCTGGGGCGTCAGTTAGGAATTTTTAAGGTATTGAACCTGAGAAACACCAGCGCTTTTCTTTCAGCCTTACTATAAGCCTTTGTGCAATGAATCATTTAGTTTATTTGTCTTGTTGGGTGATATGTCTAATGTGTATAAATACACAGTATTACGTGGTCCTTTTCATAGACATTGTGAGGAGATTTCTGTGGAGGTCTTCTTTTGATTGGCTTAAACCAGGAACATGCTAGCTCTGTGTGTATTGGTTTCCTTTATACTGCAGAGCTGTCCTAAATCATTGAGAGGGGCCATCCGATTGTAAATTGGGTGTTTAAACTTTTTAAAACTGTGTTACAAACTTTTAGGAAAACAAACTTTGAAGTTTCATTGTTTCATCTTCGAGTGGGAGCTGGGACGCGTGGTTTTGACTTAAACTGACCTTAGATCACTCAGTGTAGACAAGTTAGTTTCTCGTAGTAGTACTACTTCTCTTAGTAGTGTTCATTTTCACTTTGCTAGCACAGAGCTAGAAATATTTGGATTGACCTCACTAAATTGGGGACTTTAAAATCATTATTAACCTTTTATTAAGAGGTTAGTGTTGTTAAAAGAGTATTTCTACCAAGGCTAATTTTGAAGGCAATTTTTAAACAGAGCAGTGTTGAATGACATTTGTTTTTAGTTGTTTCCTAATCAGCCTTATTATTATTTTATTTCTCTCTCTTTTTCTTTTTCTGTTCCAAATAAATCAGATACTGTAGCAACAGTGCCTGTTTTTAATTAAAAGAATGTTTAATGAATGTCATCTTTTCTTGAAACTTATAAGGACAGAAGTTTCCATCTCTATTCTGTGCATGGCTAATACTGAAATAGCTCCTATTTCTTTTTTTTAACAGGGGAAATAAGTGTAATTTTGAGGACCTATTCCTTAACCCCGGAGAAGTGAAATTACAGATCAAATGTAGTCGATGCCAGTTTATTGCACAGTCTTTTGGTGAAATGAAGTTTCACTTATTGTGTTCTCATGGAGAAGAGATCCAGGGAAGAGTAGAGGAAGGGGTTTTGCAAGGAAATAAAGGAGCTAAGGGGGAGCTGATCAAACATACAACCCACTTCTGGAAACAACGCAATGAGAGAAGACATTTAGCAAAATGCAGTGCCCATGAGGAAGAGTATTATACTTTTCCAAAACTTAAGAGACAGATACACTTTCACCATCAAGATAATGTCAATATGTTATCTAAAAGTGAACTGACACAGTCAGGAAGCGGCGAAGCAGCCAAGGAGATGCAGAACGTAGGTTTTGGTATACCAAGCAAAAAAATAGAAATTTGGCCTAAAGTGGGCTATAACTGCATTTTATGCAAACAGTTATTTGGAAGAAAAGAGGATCTCTATAATCATTGGCAGAGTCATCATAACTGTGAAGACCCTTCCGCTTTATGGACAATTTTTAGTTTGTTATCAAAACAAGGAATAATTGAACTTTCTACCAATGGTGAATAAAGAAGCTCAGCTCTACAATGCTATGAAAAATATCAACTATCTTACCAAATTGTTTATTGTTTTTTGCTGTGTTGCTAAACTAACTCGAGATATAGCACTTCAGAGGTTTGTTTAGTGGGTTTGTTGGGGATTTTTTTAATTTACACTAACCTTTATTTTGTTAAGTAGAAAATGTATTTATCCAGTATCATCCCAGATGGGTACATGCAAGCCGATTATGAAACACTGTACTTAAAATTCATGCTTAAGGAACTTAGCAGCAGCAAATACTCAATATTAACAGTTAACATCAAGGAAAAAGATTCTCAAGTGAAATTGTACTATACACACTGAAATAAATCAGTTTATATTAAGTAATTTCAATCTTGAATGAAATTACAAACCAGACTGAAAGTGTAATTTCAGTCCCAACTGTGCTTCCAGATTTTGTGGTAAATGTGTATTTCCTTGCAGTTCTCTGAATCATTTGAATGTGCATACATGCAGCCGGCATTGAGAAGCTTTGTAACCTATAATTTAAGTGCTTTTAATTCTTGTTTACTTGATTTCATAGTCTTCAAACATGTTCATTGCTTGCAAGTTTGTTATTGGCAGGTCTTTTAGGTATTGCATTCTGTCCTGGTAACAGCAAGGATCTTTTGATTTTTAAAGTGAAAAATCTACACATTTTTTTTGCCTGTAGCATTTTGGGTTGAAGATGAGTTAGTTGCGTCTCATGAACCCTCAAAGTTTGACTGCTTTATGAAAAAAACAAGTTTGTTTTAAAAATAGTAATCTGAGTTGGTTACTCCTGGGAAGTTTGACATTCTGCAGTAGACTGCATGTTTCACAGTGAACTTTTAGCATATTCCTTGCACCTCCTGTGACAGCAGTTTGCACTCTGCCTTTAACACTCTTGGTATTTAGCTTTTGTGTCTCTGCAGTTGACCCAGTCTGTGGCTTTAAAGGGAATTTTTTCTTTCACTTCTAAGTCTGTGATACAGGTAATGAGGTTTTTTCACTTGCATTGCCACTTATACTTTACTAGAGGAATTGCATGCAGCACCTTAACCTGCCGAAGTCAGGAGCCAGTAGCCCTTGACTTGCTAGGTTGCAAAGCTGTAGCAGCCTGTAATGCAGGAATAGTGCATGCTGTGTCCCCTGCTACAGAGCAGGCCCCGCTAAGTGACCAATTCAGCACATCTCCAAGGGTGCCAGTCAGTTCAGGCTGTAAGGAGATGCAGTTCTGGAGCTCAGTTTTGATGGAAAGGTCATTGAACCATTGAATCCAGTTTGAAATTGGTGTTTAAACTGCTGTTACTTAAAGCCTTATGTACCTCTGAATTATTTTGGGAGCAGTAATGGAGGCAGCATAAGAAATCACTGTATCACTGTTCGACAAAAGGCAGAGCACATCAGAGGTCAAACTGAAAGGTACACCAACATTGTCTCTATACAGTAGTACTCTATCCATTTCTTCTTGTGGTCAAACTATAATTGAGGGGTTGCAGTGATGGAGGAGTCATTCCTAAAATGTCCTGGGTGGCTTCTCACTGCTTTGCAAAAATTGTGGTGATGAGAACAGATCTAAAAATGTTGGGTTTTCTGAGTGGGATTACAGAAGATGTTGCAATATTTTGTGTATTTGTTTTGTTCTTTACCAGTAAAGGTGGTTTTGATGAGCTACTAGTTTTGAATGTAATTTCTTGTTATATGGTGCTTTGCCCTGGAGTTGGACTATGAGTCTGGAGCCAAGAAAAATAAGACAAAAGGAAAATGCTTGTAGAAGTGTACAGGTGCCTGGTAAGGTGGAAGAATCCCTGTGGATTTTCAAAACTTCCTTCCTACTATCTGTTGCTATAAATACATTTTTGTGGTTGTTTCTTTTCTTTCATATATTATTTTTTATGCTGAACTACTTTAAAAATACTGCTTGTTCTTACTCCTAGGTATGGCACAGCCATCTTTTAATGTGTACAATATTTTCATATTTCTTTTCACTGGGTATATGGAGGAGAATGTATGGCATATTTGGAAAGGAATAGCTAATTTTGAAGTCAGTGTTTTATATCAAACTGGGTCTGTATTTAACTTTACTAAAGTTTGTTTGCATTTAGAATCATTTTTCCCCCCATCTTCATTCTTTAACATTCAAAATCGAACAGCTTGGTGTTTTCTGTGAAACAGAAATGTGAGAACAATCCCTCCCTCCTTCACGTAGTTATAATATGTCAAAAGGAAATTCATTCCCAGCATAAAGCACACATTCTAAGAGTTGGGGGGAGGGAAACAAACAAAAAACCAAAACATTAAAAAGGTTTGATCGTATTCATTATTTAGAACAGACATTATATGACCTTTCTTGCAAAATCACCCAACCCTTGGTATAGTTTAAAATAAGCTGAAATGAATGCAGCTCTGACACAGTCCCTCCTGTTCAGGAACAGCACCAATGATGGCAGAGTTGTCCTTCAAAAATATTTTCAAAAAGTATTTGTTAAAAATGGTGGTGCACCAGGGCCAGTCATGTAGATGAGTTGTTCGGTGGAGGTTATCTGGCAAGAAGGGTCTGTCCCTTTCATGTCATGTAAAAGTAGGGGGAGTTGCGGCGATGATGGGACGAAGGAGGTTTGGGACGAGGGAGTGAGTTGCATTTTTTTTTTAATGGAAATTTTCTTGTGCAGTCTTTTCATCATATTTTTGTGCTTCTCTCCCTTTCTGTAGTTCAGGCCAAATGGGTAAAGGGGTCTCAGCTTTCAGCAATTTAAAGCCTGAAAACATGTTTTAAAGTATGGTTCTACGCCACCTGTCAGTGTCCTCATAAATGTTTAAAATTAGAAGCCTTTTTTTTCTGAGCCTGAAAGCATTCTTATGTTTCAGGCTATTATGATTATGGTAGATTATGAAAGGTTGGGATTTTTGAAAATAGCTTTGCATTAAATACAGATGTGTCCTTTGTTTAAAATGTGTTTGTTTTGCATTTGTGTTCGTTTTTATAACATTTTGAGGTACGGAGTGAGCCTTATTTACAGCAACATTAAATAGTGCGTGTTTGCTGTTCAGCAGAAGGGTTGTTATGAATACAGTTTGCTGTTTACCTTCAAGCTGGACAAGTTAACATCTGGTTTTGCACATAAATTATATTTTTAAATTGTTAAAACGAATGTTACTGTTTTTGTAGCTGTAGTTTTGTTCCCCTCTGATTTTTCATTAAATCTCTGTTTCAGCTTCACTGTTCAACTTTAAAGCTGTTCCTCACATGGAAAGTTGTTCCTTCATCATCACACCATAAATAATCAAAGCTGGAGGAGTTCCATTGCTTCTCTGGCTTGCAGAGTACTGCCCTTCTCCAGCTGCAGAGCTAGTTTCCTATGGCTAACTTGACATAGTTGCTGGCAGTAAATGTTTTACTTCATTTATTTATTAGAATTTAGATCTCTGCTGTTTAGCTCCATCAGAGTTTCTGTCATACCTCATTAGATACTTATTTTATCTACAATTCACTGAGCTCTTTAGAGAAAGTGTCATAAGAAAGATGAACAGGTATTTAGGAGAGCAGATTTCAACCCTAACTTTGTGCAGATGATGCTGACGTTTTGAGAATCACCAGCTTATCTAGGCTCAGCTGTGTAGTACATTATATTTCTACAACACATCCACCTACATGTGCATCTATTTTGGAAAGAAATGTATGCTTCAGATTCAGCTGTCAGTTATTATTATCAAACCTGTACAATGTAGGTTTGTGATTATTATACATAAAGATTAAAATGCTATTAACTGTAGTAGGTTTACTTGTCAAATTCTGTACAGCTCTGAAAAATTAAAATCTCTGCGTGCTGAGCATGGCACAGAAAAAACCTAGTCTCATGAAGAAAAATCTCATGGCTTAAAGGTTGTCCTCATTTCAGTGTGTGCTTTTATAGCTGATCTGTCACATTGTAGGATTTTCTCAACGTTTTATTAAATTGACATAATTTTTCCTGGTTAGGAATAGTGAAGAAAACCTGAGCCTGCAAGCAGGTTTGAGAAAAAGATGTGTTTACTGCTTTCCTCCATACAGGCAGACGTGTCCATGGAATCAAAATAGTCTTGGTGGCCTTACATATACATGCACAATGTGGGGCAACATGCAAGATTTGGACTCTGGTAGATGACTTGATGTGACTGACTGTTCTGCTGTTCCAAAGTAGAAACTGCAAATTTGAGTGTAAAAATAACTTGGTTTTCAGACGTTAGTGAATTTCTAATACCTCATTGACAAACTTTCAAGAAATAAAAAAAAATTACAATAGCATACTTTTCTACTTGTGCTCTGTTTTATAGTTTTATTGACGTCGTAGTACCAGCAGTGGTCTAAGATGTGATAGGTCTGGTGCTGTCGAGTACAAAGGAAGCTTTCTCCCTTTCATTTTTTTCACATTTTATTGACTTTTCGTTGTAAGCATTAGGAATGATGGGATAAATTATGATTTCTGCTGCTGACAAATCCAAAAACATTATTGTGAGGTTGTTTTGCAGAAATTTCTAATTTAATCTAGAATAACAGATGAATTCAGTGATAAGAAGCTTCTGTTGGAAAGAGATATGTAAGCAAACTGTCCTTCATATGTGGATTTCTTTGCAGAATTACACTGCTGTAGATAAAATTTATAGATATAGGTCTTGTACTGGTAGGTACTATTTGTTCTTATCCAGAGTCATTTAGATTGGCCAAGGGAAGTAAGAATTAAAAAATGTCCATTTTTCTCTTTGACTTGATTTTTGTTAAATATTTCTACTGTTGTGCCAGGCCAGATCGTGCTCCAAGGCATGTAGATACTCAAACACTTTCTAGGGGACTTGGAGCATAGTTCAGTGGAGGAAAGAGAAGAAATATGCTGAGGAAGTAGTGATGATGAAGGTTGGCACAACGTATTGAGTATAAGTGCAAGTTTCAGCAGGCCTAGCCTTTGATGGTCTGTGTATGTGAAAGTGTCCTACTGTAGCCTTAGTCTGAACTTCTCCCTTCCACCCCCTGT